TATATATATATATATATATATATATATATATATATATATATATATATTTTATATAGATATAGTGACTTCTTCTGCTGTGTGTTTTCTGTTAATATCACTGTCCTGTCTTCCTCCGTCACAGACTTCTGGAGGAAGCACGAGAGGCCACGTGAGTTTCTGTTTTTCTGTATTAGTTAATGTATTATTATGATGAAAATATTAACGTCCATATGTCTGTATCATAAAAACAGCAACAGATGCTGCTGAACTTAATGGCACAACTGTCAAAGAGAAGGAGTGCACGGACGGTAAGAGACAAGTGGAAAATGAATCTCCTGCTTGTCTCTGATTATATTCATTTAATATATACAGTATATATGTGCAGTGTGTGACTCTGCTTTTGTCATTTGGCAGAGGAAGCACCATTGTCAAAGTGACGTTAGGACCCGTCCGGTGTAAAACAAGACGATCGGCAGTAAAGAAGTACACATTGGAGTGGTCTGTCCTGTGGTTTTAGTACATGTCATGAAAAAATCCCTTCAAGAATAGTGTCAGCTCCATTCCCTCTAACCTAGAATAGAAAGATCCGTCACAAAGGAACGGAGCCAGATGTTATTGCTCTGTTACAATCTTGAAAATACTTTCTTTTTGTCCTGCTGCATGTTTTGAACAGATTCCATTCGTGTCTCCAGCTGCTATTAACTGCCTTATGTCCCATGTATTAATACAGCATTTAAAAGACACTATGAAGGGGAATATTAAAGTTATTTATCACAAAATAAAAAAGGGACAAAAAGTCCACAGTTGCGGTGGAGAACCAAATAAATAGCCCAGAGAGGCACAGCGGGGCCTCAAAGTTTAGACAATACCAGGAAGCTCTGCAGGGTGGCCTCTTCTGTAGCGGACGTGCAACAGGCCCCGAGTCATTCAAACCCTGTTAGCGTAGTGTTTATTGTGGCTTAACGTGTCTTGGGAAATAAAGAATGTATATAAATGGAGTGTTTTTATATGGGATATGTTTAATAAAAGCACTGACTATCAACCCCTTTTCACATCAATACCGTCTTTTTCCAACAGCAAAAATAAAGAAGTCTAAAGTTGAACCACTCGAGGGCAGCACGTCGACACATTTCCCTCTCATTGAGTCACGTGCACTGTAGTTTGGATAGCTGTTGCATAACCATCGTCCTCTTCATTACTTCAGTTTATGGCCCAGTTCTCATCTGCAAGCTGATTGGCTGCTTCAACATACTTTAAAGCATGAGCAGCAGTTAGGGTTTGACTTTCTTCTACAAATCAAATTCAGTTGAATTCTCGAGTGAAAAGTATTCAAGTGTAATAACGGCAGCCAATCAAATCACGGACATATTTACGGCTGCATTTGACGAACCAAAGTTCCACATTTATACAAAGAACATATTTAAATAGCATAGAGTGAGGGTCATCTGGGTGAGCTGATGAATCATTGCTCACTCAAAGGACTAAAGGGCAAGAATGCAACAGCAAGTAGCTAGATACCCTTCTCTGCTCATCACAGTCTCGTGTGTGATCTCACTTTCCTGGGTATTAGCTGTGTAGATACGCAGGTTAACACCGAGAAGGTTTCCTCACATCAGCTCAGCTGAATAAACAGAACGCAGAACAACAGATCGGAGGAATCGTCCTGCTGTGTGCAGCTGCCCAAACAGTTAATACCAGTCCCTCAAAGCAGTATTAACATGAGAGACACTATATACACTTGTATAACTTCATTGTATTTGAACTGTTTTAAAAAAAAAATGATCGAGGAGCTTTTTATCCACCAAACTCAATTTATTAGTGAATACAAAATAAACATGTAATTAACGTCAGTGTTTGTCTTTTTACAGACAGATTCACAGTTAATTCAATCAGAAACAGACACATGAATAAAAACCCACGTCACTGTAGCGTCTGTTGTAAAAAAGATTCTAAATTGTACAGACACGCCTGCTTTTTACAACTACTTCATGTTTGTTGTTTAGTTCCTGTTGCATGAAGTCGTACTGCATTCCTATGTGTGTTTAGTTAAAGATCCTTAGTAGAAACACGGGCCTCTAGCCTTCCTGCTCAAAAACAGAGAAAATAGAATTAGCAGCAATAAGATGCAGCCGAGCAATCATCCTGCTCGGCTAAGCATCTTCACCCAGCATGCTGCTGAAAATCAACACCGACGAGAAATATCACGTTCAATGACCTAAATTCATTGATGTGCATTAGGACTAATTATCAAATAGGCATATATGTGTAAACTACACAATCTGCAGCTTGTTCCAATGTATCAAATAAGTATAAATCTAAATATTCTGATGCTGCAGCTTCTAGCATTACAGCCACAATAAAAAGTGTTTCAGAAATCACATTATCTAACATACTGCACGCAATCTGCAGGTTCCAGCTTCACATAAACTGATCAATTTCATACTGTGATAATAACAATGTGATGTGAAATTGGATTATCAATACAGGAATTAAAAATTGTACCATATACCTCTAAAATATAGTGATATGGATATTTGCTTTTTAAAAATGGTACCAACACTTAATCATAGCACTGTAACAACACAACAGGAGTGTGAATAAAAGAAGTGTGATGTCTAATCAAAGCTGTTTTAACACTTGGTGGTCACATCGGAATCAGGAAACTCCTCGCTAGTACTGAATACAGAAAGGTGCTCAATTCTGGCCATCACATGAATGGTCCCTCTGTCTGCGGATGAAAGCATAGCACCGCCTCATGCTTTGTAGTCAACTTTCTAAAAAGGAGAATTTATTCTTCTCACAGCGGACCATCAAAGACAAATAGAAAACTCTCCCCTGGTGTTGGTCTGACTGGTGCAGTGCAGCAGCTTCAGGTCGCACGAGAGGCACTGCTGTGATTTAAGGCTCACATACAAACCACCTCATGGACGTCGAGGGTTTAAACGATTGATCCCGCTGAGTCTCAAAGCTCCAGGTAAGCAGTTTAAAGGCCAGGCGCGTTTCTTGTCGTTACGCTTTGGCATTGTTGCCGTTGGACAGAGGCTCCGCCTCCGACTCTGCAGCCATGGGGCTGAGCTCTGTGGACGCCACCTGTTCCTTGTCCCCGCCTCCTTCTCCTTCACGCTTGTTTCTATAATGGCGGGTGATGACCACCGCAGCACAGACGAGGTAGACGACGGTGAGAATGCCGAAGTAACCGGTGTACACCAGGAACTGTAAGAAAGAAAGAAAATATTAAGAGGATGACAAAAGTTGTTCTTTGCTGACATCAACATCCCTCTTGTTTTTGCAAAACAGAGACCTACATTCTGTTTCTCTACGCCTCCTAAAATGTTTGTCTTTACCACCTTTTAGAGACTGCAAATGTATGAATTGTGACAATAACGTCCACTAAAGTGCACGACATAACCGTGGCATGAGATACATCCAGAGGGGGGAAACACAGCCAAAGCTCTCTGAGCCAAGCTGCCGGCGTTCACGTATTAAAAGACCGCTCTACCTGAGACTGCACGTCCAACGCCAGGCCTCTCTTGTCAGAAAATATCAGGATGATGATGCTCTTCAGTATGGTCCCCAAAAAGGTGTTGATGCCAAACACTAAGGCGCACAGCTCCTTGGTGAGTGACGAGGCAATCTGGAATCTATGGAGACACAATGATCACCACGGGCCAGACGGGTGAGTTCCTGGAATGTCCTTTTGTGGTTTCATATAGAGATTAAATGATGTATTCTACGTGGCACTCACGTGGCAATCGGCACCAGAAACTGGTAGAAGCCCCTGAAGAGGACGTAGGCCATGTAGCAGACCCAGATGTTGTCCGTGGTGGCCATGAGGAGCAGCAGACCCGCCTGCAGGGCTGTGATGACACCGATGACCAGCTCGGACCAGACCTTCCACCGAATCGTCGCATAGCCGGCGATGAAGGACGTCAGTGCACCTGCAGAGAGATCACAACATCTGCTTAAAACAAGCAGTCTGCACACAGATGTTTACTGCGGTCACCTGAAGGAAGTTTTCTTCTGTCAGATTTTGTTTCACAACCTAACTTTTACTGCTTGCATGTGACCTCCAGGTTATTGAAACAAACTGCTATCTTTGTGCTTTACAACTGATTAAAGAGTTATTACAGAATAAGAGATCAATGACTCAACCTCTTAACAACAAGGCAGTCAAGGAGTGCACATTGGATTGTAATGCACCAAGGACTATGAAACGGCTTTATGAGCACAGAGCAACATATTTCCATCCAAAAACTAACTACTGTAGCTCCAGAAATGTCTCACTCAGCAGGGTAGAAGCTGCCTCCACTCCCCCGTTGTAAACGTTCTTGTTCTCAGTGACCGGATGGACTTTGTTCCACAGGATGTGAACGTAGAACAGCACCAGGTAGTACCCTGTGGAGTTGAACACCCACCACAGGGACCAGAGCCTCAGGTTGGGCCTCCTCGCCACATTTCTCACCTCCAGCAGCATCTGCAAAAAGACAGAATCCCTCCAGCGTGACGCAGAGCATGGGGGGGCTGCCGAGGACGAGGCGCTCTCTTTCGGGTTCATTTGGTACAGTTCTGACTTGGTGGCGGCCGCTGCCGCTTCCTTTTGCTCCTGAAACAGCGTCCGGTTGAAAAACAGCGAGCGTTTAGGCCAGGGCAGGAACACCGACAGCGTCAGTCCGAAGCTGACGAAACCCAAAGACACGGCGCTGAGGGTGTAGAAGCGGATATCGCCGAAGGAAATGCACAGCTGGCCCAGCACCGAGCTGGTGAACACCCCCAAGAGGAGCGCGGAGCGCGAGTATCCGGCCACGCGCTGGTAGAGGGCCGGGCTGACCAGGGAGAAGATGTAGGAGGAGTAGGCCACGCGGCAGGCCATGGTGATGCCGTAGAAGAACTCCATGAACTGCATCTCCAGGAGGCTGGTGCCCAGCAGCAGAAGGAGCCAGATCACCACGTGGCTGACGCCCTGGATGATCAGGACCGGCTTGTAGCGCAGGAGGTCCGTCACCAGGAAGGCTGGCACCAGCACCACCATGTAGGAGTACGTCAGCACGGGAGTGATCTCATTGGTCACCTGGAGAATGACAATTAAGAAATCAGTGAGGCAGATTAAAGCTGCAGTTCACAACAGTTTTTAAACTTTGAAGGGACCACATCGCATTTTTACGACCAGATCTTGATATTATTTAGTTTTTTTGTTACATGGTGAAAATAAGAGTCGCGGTCCTCGGATGATTTCCCAGCCGTTCTTCACAAACCTCTCACACTGACCCACTTCGGAGGAATGTGAACTTTGACCGCTGTAAGATGGATCAGCAAACTCTCCACGGGACATTCATTCATTCCACTGTGTAACATGTCTGTTGTCGGAGCCTGGGGTGCTTTTTTCTGTCAATAATTACTGGTTGCATTGGTGTTCACACAAAGACATATAAACCTGAACAAAAACCTGACGACACCACTAACCTGTTCCCGGGTGAAGTTCTTCTCAGAGCTGAGAAGATACGGTGTAATGAAGGGCTCGCCGGGCTTTATCGATATCATAAACCCGTAGAAACACAAGAATATTACGGCCCCCTTCCACTTTCTGGGCTGCGCGTCTTCCCCTGGAGGACCTTCGGCAGCAGACACAACCATCTCTACGTCTCTCTCTTCAGATGTGGGCGCCTTCTGGTCCATCTCCTTCTCCCCCTCTGATCGGTCTCCACTTCCTGCTGTGTCCTCCGCTACCATTGTGTCAGTGGGACCACTCTTGTGATGCAGAGTGTAACTTTTCTGCTGCGTCAAATCACCACGTGAGGATTGCTTTTGACGTGGGGGGAAAAAAGCTGCCGACTTCCTGCTGTAAAAACCTGTTTTGGGGTTTTCAATCCAACTCCCTCTCTATGCCAGAGAGTACCTGAGATGGTGTAAATGAACTCAACAGGGCGATGACAGGGTAGTCAAAATGCTACATGCTGCCGTTCACGTGTAGGAGGAAATGTTGACCTTTGCCTCATTCCACATGATGACATTTTCTGACAGCAAGCTATCCAGCAGCTGGGTCCAGTGTCATTGTTAACCTGAAAAGATAACAAGGTTGTCAGTTAGTCTGATTGTTTTTGACACTGTGCAAACAGCTGACCTGATAGTCTGGCTGTGTTTTCTACTGTGGCACACTATAATTTGCTGTTTTAACTCAAATAGGACTTCAAATATCAACAATTAAAATAAATCCCTGGCTTGTTTTCGCAATATATCACATTTTTTTGGTGTACAAAATAATTCCCAATAATAAATAAAGCATATACTCTGTCTAAGAAGTGTTTCTTAATGAATCACATACAGGTGAAACACACAGTGTGCCCCTGAGGAATGAATTACATGGCCTGAGTCAAGACATTGAGGTGCAATACAAACGAGTTGCACAATCCACTCATTGGGTAACAGTGCGTTAGCATGCCAGTGCCTCTACGATTGTTACGTTAGCTGCTAATGTGCTACACCTGGCTGTGTCACAACGCCGCAGACACGAGTGAAACTACCTCACAGCACAGTTTATGACAGTTGGGCGAGGTTATAGCGAGCTAGCAAGCGTGCTAACAGTATACAACAATTAAAAACAATGCACTCGTGTTGCTTTTGTAGGCAGACAAATGACTGACATGTTATTTTAAGCAAGCAACCGACCGCCCAGTTAACACAACACGCTGGCTTTCTAGTATGAAAGCACAAATTCACAATTTATAATTTTAGGGAACAGGAAATTGAATTTACGCGACGTGCATAACTTACCTCGTGAAAGTGCCTGCCAGCAGCGCTTAGCTAACCTACTACCACGCGCTTCCCTCGTCGCATTGACTTCTGGGAAATGTAGTTCTGCAGTTTCACTGCTGCGTCAACGCCGATGCATAATAAGATCAAAGATGAAGTTTAAGTTCCTACAGTTATTTTACATGTTTGTATTTTGCAAGTGCTTTGTTCGAGGTCTGTTAAACGAATACCAATGTAACTACTACTGCGAATAATAATATATGTAAATGTAAATATATAAATGTTGGTATTTCGGATTAGTCAAAAACTTCATTGGTTAGGATGACCTCGGGTACCAACCACAGGTCTACAGGAATAAATCAGTCAGTGCAGGAAATATTGCAACGCCTTTTATTTGTAATGATGAACTTGTCACATGGAATGTGAATAGCATTTGCAGTTTTACTGAAAAAGACAGCAGTATTTACAAACTTTGTAGCATATATAAATGAACACAGAAATATCAGCTGGACGATAAAAACACTGTCAAGAGTGAAGGCTTAAATTCTGCAAAACATACAGTCCAAGATTCTTCGATTAAAGACACTAACAAGCATAACCAAATACTGGTCAATTCTTGAGCAAGGAAAATGGAAATTGATGAGAAAATGAACTGAGACTTGATCAAATCAGAGGCTGGAAATCTGAAGGGTTTCATAGTGGATGTAGACAACAGGAAAGTCAATAGATGGCAGCAGCGCACCACAAATCAAAAGTAGAGAATTAGCGACACTAAATATACTATAACAGCCTCTATTCAAGGATGTTCTGGCTTCAGATGGACATTTTTATCTGGCTCAGAACAGAAAAGGGACAATGATCAAAATATATATTTTTTTAAAGTCTATTGCGGTTTCAGAGAAGAGCTCCGTTGCCTTCTGATGTGTTAGATGTCGACCTGCTAAACTTTGACCCCAACATCCTCTCCTGTCTGGCTTTCCTCTGTACAAGTTGGGTCATTTTGTTCCTGAACTTCTCTCCCACGAACGCGTAGAGGACCGGGTTGATGCAGCTGTGGAACAGAGCCAGGCTGTTAGTTATAACCAAGGCCAAGTTCACGGATCTCTTCAAAGTGCAGCTGAACGGTATCAGATCAGCCCTCTGGACTGTGTCCACCATCATGGTGATGTGGTACGGCGTCCAGCACAGCAGAAACACAATCACCACGGCTATGATCACCTTCATGGCCCGGTGCTTCTTGAAACTGCGGGTGCGCAGCAGCCTCGCGATGGTGACGCTGTAGCAGATTGCCATGACAAGCAGAGGGAGCAAGAAGCCGAAAATGTGGCGGAACCCGCGAGTGGCAATCCTCCATGAGGAGGCGCTGCCGATGTCAAAGGTCTCGCTGCAAGTCATCCTCGAGTTTTGCTCGATGGCATCGTTGAAAAGCGCGGGCAGAGCAAGGGCCCAACCGAGGGCCCACACTGCAGCACACAGGAGCCGGCTGCACATCCTCTGGCGACTCCGGAGACTCTCGCTGGCATGCACAATCACAAGGTAACGATCGATGCTAATACAGGCCAGGAAGAGGATGCTGGTGTAGAAGTTTGCATCGGTGACGAGGCTGAGGAGCTTGCACATGAAGTCTCCAAAGATCCATCCTTCAGTCAGCGCCACAGCCCAGAATGGGATGGTTAGGGCCATCAGACCGTCTGCTATTGTCAGGTGAAACAAGTACACATCCGATGGAGTCAGCGCCTGTCTGCTGGTGCCGATCACCCACCCCACCAACAGGTTCCCTGGTATTGCCAGTAAAAAGATGGCGATGAGGATGACACATAGGGTCAAAGCTGCTGTCGGAGCCGGCGGTTTTATCTCACACGATAACGTCTTTGGATCCACAACGTAGTGTGTCTGATTCCCGTAGCTGGTAATGTTCAGGTCCTCATAGTAAAAGATGAAGGAGGCCATGACTATGGATGGAAAATAGATTGACACTGGTACATTATCATTGCCCTGCAAAAACATTAAAATTTGAAGCTGCAATTATGCTGCAAAACTACACTTAAAACGAAGAGTAAACTGCAGCAAGAGGATGAATGATATTTCTTTTTCAAGCTTCGAAAAATTACAAACAGCTATTTACCTATAATGGGAAATATTAAAACGTAGAGACACAGTAGAGAAGAGTACCTAGGTTTGCTAACATTAGCTTACATCAGCCATGATGTAAGCTACTGGTCATACCAGACCAAGAAACCTAAACCCCTGAGTGTATTAACTTGATCACGGGCATTTTTTATTACTCATCAATTTAACTTCTTTGTACTAAGAAGATTGGGTTATTCTGCTTTTCAAAAGTTGCATAGTCTCCTTTTAATACACAAATATTTTATATAGTTTCCAGCTATGAGAATAAACTATCAGACGCTCACCTTCTGGCTTCGCTGTAGCTGCCTTTCAAGATGACAACAACTCAACGCCCAAATGAGTCTGTGCCATTGAGCATCCCTTTAAATGTGTTACGTTACAATAGTTGTGTCTTTATGGAGAGTTGACCCAATGTCCTGTTTCCTTCCCCGATATGTTGCTTCACATGCCTGCGTCATGAAATTGTTGCAATACAGGCGTGAATTATGAAATGAATGATGACTGGAAAATAGAAGTTAGGCCTTGTTATTAAACAATTACACTGATGGGGAACAAATCTAAAAGTTGTGAACCACTGGTTTACACAGTCATACTTGTTAATGATTTTAAAAACAGAACATCAATTGGTCCCATTTTATTTCAACAAAGTCAAGCTTTTTTTTCTCCCAAACTCTCTCTTGACACCATTATAACGCTTGGTATGTCTACAAATCATGATATTTTCTTCCAAAATAAAGCTCCGAACCTTTTGAGTAAAGACACATCTGTGAGAATAGTAAACCGCAAAAAAAATCAGGTAACATGTGATGGTACACTGTTGCAAGCCATTGGGTAACCAGGGGTGTTTGGTAAGGTGTTTTACAAATCAGCAGGTCAGGGTGTCAGCTGTGACACTTTCTGGAAATGAAACATTTTGTTCTCACACTTGAAGTTGCAAAAGTCCGGCATCATTCCCCTCGTTTTGTTCCCCCACTGTCTCTACAGTCAAAAAATAATCAGTTACCAGGTGTACTGTTTTGTTGAGATCGTTGTTATTTTGGTGAGTTTGTTGAGCATCAGTGAGCATGCAGAGAAAAATGAGAACCACCCAACAGTAATAACAGGGGATGAAGCTAATGGAAATGCTTCACTGACACTCCTCCTCTCGATCTTAAAGTCACGATATATTTATCCAGACACAAAGGTCTGTCTCCTCTTCCTCCCATTTGTCTCCATAAATCACTTCATTCTGGTTCTAAGAGCTGCCACACACTAATCAACATAGCGGCGTGTTGCTTCACCACTGTCCCTTCAGCTCTCACAGAACTGAGACATAAAGGCACCCACGCCATTAAATCACAGTATTGTTTCCAGCCTCCCTCAGGTAACATGGAAGTCCCCCAACGAGAATGACCTGTTCTTGATTTCTGGTCACTTTGATCGCCAATATCCGGATCAACAGTGATAACGGCACTAAGAAAATAAACGCAGAAAAACAATGGCTGAAAAAGGCTTGAAGCAAAAGTCAATATCAGTTTTGTTTTGTAGAAAAAAAACAAGAACAAAAGAGTGAAACTTGGCACAGTCGTGACCATTCACTGGAAGAGATACTGTGCCAAGTTGTGTTTCCTTCTTTGGAAATGTCATGAGTGACAATTAAAGGATGTTTGTCTCTAAAACAACGCTGGGATGATGCAAAATATGAAGCTGAAATCCCTTTAAAATGCCCAGCTATGCTTGGAATTTAGTTTATGTTGAGAGTGTGGCAGTATCCATCCCTCTTTCTATGAGATAACACTTTTTATGAGTTTTTTTATTTGATAAAGGTCTGCCGTTATTCTGCTGTCACCACCCGGATGTCCTCTCAGCTGTTTGTTTTTCTGTAATAATTTGGTAGAACAATGTTACAATACTCCACTACATGTAAAACTCCTGCATTTAGAATCCTCCTCAGGTAAAAGGCTTGTGACCAATCAGTTAGTCAAGAAATCTTTTCACATTTCATTGTAAAACCATACAGGCTGCCGTGCAGTATTGTTGGCTGCTGTGTTGTAGTGCTAATGTGGTTTAGAGTAACAACATATCAGACTTTAATTCTTGAGTTTTGGTGAACCTATCAGTGACTGCACCCTAGTTGTGTTCCTACGTTAATGTTTCTTCTTTATGTTTGGACATTAACAACACGGTAGTTCTTTTATTACATTCCTGAACTTCTTCTTTTAAAAAAACACTCAACTGAAAAGTTCAAAATGATTGTATGTTGGTCGTGAAGGAATGCACAATTATTACTAGTTATTTTGACATACCTTTTTTTTACCACACCTCATAATTGCATGTTAAAGGAATCATTGTGACTTTGTTTTTGTCTGTCAGGTGAGAACCACAGAGTTATCCGTTTCCGTACATCTGATATGAATAAACCAATTTGGATCAATCAAATCAAATTACCAAAAAGTGGTACTTGGTTGGTAATTCAGACTTGCTGATGTAATATGACTTACTTTTAAAAATGCCAAATAATAGATATCTAAATGATGCCTAAAGGGTTTATACTATGTTTATTTCAGTGGGGTTTCACAAGAAGATATGACTGAAATGGTAAATTCAATACTGTTAAGATAAGCTTTATTACAACAACAAAATGATGTAGATAATGTCATTATTATTTTATCTATCTGGATAGAGCATCTCTGTAAGGCATGTTGTAAATAATTAGGATACTTTAGTCAATAATAGATACCTTCAATGGATAGGGTGATTAATGATAGATAATTGTGATTTATATAAAGAATATGTATTTGTTTGTTTTGCATACTTTGTATATTTGGACATTTGTTTAATGCAAAACTGATCACACGTAAATAGCTAATCTCCGTCGTTCATTCAATCAGCGACAGACCTGTTTCTTTGCCACAAATGAACAATATCGTAGTAACGATTTTTTTTATACAGGCAACATTGTGTGCCCCCTTATCTTTTGGGGTCCTGAGTGTAAAATACGCGGAAGCGACAGGCGGAAGGAGCCTAGGCGGAAGCGGTCTGATCTGTCAAGGCAGGGAACATTTTGCAGAATTTGACAAAGAGGTTAATCCCACCAAATAGCACCGATCATCCCCCCCTTTTTTCCTCGACACCGGCGTCCGCTGCGATGATCCTGTTAGAAATCAACAACCGCATCATAGAAGAGACGCTGTCGTTGAAGTTCGACGGCGCATCCAACGGGTGAGAAATCATTGTTACACCTGGCTAGCATTGCATGCTAACGTCAGCTAGCTTCTGATGGCTGCATTCAATGAAGCAATGGGGGCGGGAGGGGTTTCAGAGGCCGTTGATCACCGTTTGCAGCTTTTTGAACACGTCACCTAGTTAGTCGTGTTTTGTCGTTGAAAATGTGGATTATTTTGATCAACCGCCGTGAGTGGTTTGCCCGAAGCTGGGGTGTGTCTTCATTATGCCAAAAAAACATATCCGGTGACGTCATTAACCATTAACCATCAGTGTAACAACACAGGGTTGCTGCTGTTGTATTGATTGTTGTTGTTTCCACTCAATAAAAGGCCAAATATATGCTTTCCACGGCCCTTTTAGTACCAGTTAGCGGCTACTTGTTAGCCAACCATCGCCTCTCTCTCTGTCCAGCTTCCGCATTCTTTTAGTCAAGCCGAGTCAAGTCTTGAGCCGTGTGCAGAGCTTCTAGGAGCATGCAGTTTTGGACAAGCTGCTGCAGCATCCACCTTTAAAAATGTCCATTTATTACACGTTGTAGTTGCATCCCCTCAATAGAGTTTTGCTGGTTAAATATTTATATAAATTGTCAAACTGAATTATTAGAAAATCCTGCTGAAATATTAATGTTTGCGGTGTGTTTTTCCAAAGATTTTGGACAGAAAACTCATATCAGGAAACACAGACTTGAAATCAGAGCTCAAAGACTTCTCAGAAATGCTGAAATAGTGACTCTGAATTATTTTATGAATTATTTTGTAATTATTTGTGTCTCTTTATACCTCATGCGTCTGCTAATTTAAATGTTCTCCTTGCAGAACCAAACCAGAGGCCGTCGATGTGACGTTTGCAGGTGAGATTATGTGGCATAAGATAACTATACATAAACAATAATAACCTATTATGCAATCAACCTGTTGCACATGCTCAGCCTTGCCAGTAATCGCTGCACAAAGTGTCAGGGAAAAGATTAAGAGTTCTCCCCACATTAATGTTTAATGTTCATCTCTGCCGCAGACTTCGATGGCGTATTGTACCACATCTCCAACCCCAACGGGGAGAAGACCAAAGTGATGGTCAGCATCTCCCTGAAGTTCTACAAGGAGCTGCAGGAACACGGGGCGGACGAGGTACGACACACGAAACCAGGGAGCAACATAACGTAGATCATATCGTATGTCAGAAGCTGAAATATTCTTGTCTTTTAGGTCCTAAACCTGAGTTTTAAAAGTTTAAAAAAGTGTGTGACGGGTTACTTCATTATAAGAACACTGATTAGCTTGATTTCTAACAGGTGTTGGTGTCAATTTTGAGCTGATAAAGTATTTTTAAAAACCAGTATGATGTCATGATTGCTATCTGCTCTCACACACACACACACCCCTACACTCCTCCACCACAAGGGCTCTGTTGCCATGTAAGGAAGAAAGCAGCTGCAGAGACTTCTGGTAGAAACAGGAAGTGAGTTTGTGTGACCCACCCCAGGCGAGGAAATGGTGTGTGTGTGTGTGTGTGTGTGTGTGTGTGTGTGTGTGTGTGTGTGTGTGTGTGTGAGTGTGAGAGAATCTCTTGGCTGCCGGCCAACAACTTCCCTCCTTGTTCCCTAAAGCTGAAGAGCAGGGGGATAAGTGAATGGTTCAGTTACCCTGCCTGTGAAGAGTCTATTTAGAAAGCAGTCTCACACATTCCTACCTCTTCTTCATTGGACGTGTTTAGCCTTGCTGCTTAGGGTTAGGTGGAGGGTCCACACTGCTGCGTTTCCCTCAGCTGTCTTTTGTTGACCTTCGCTGCTCCATTGCCAATACCTGAGATGGATTTGCATTTCTGTGTTTTAGAGAAGCGGGATGAAAATAACAGCTCGTGTTTTTAATTACAGCTGCTCAAGAGGGTCTATGGGAGTTTCCTGGTTGCACCAGAGGATGGTAAGCTCACAAAGTTACCGATTGCTTGAGATTTTTATAGATGACTAACTTCCACATAGCCACTTTGTTCCTCATTTCTATCTATTGTTAGTGTGTGGTAGCTCACTTGAAAATGAAAAGTACTGTGCTAGCAACGAGACATTTTGTACCATCTTTAATCCTCATCGCTCTGTTTCCTGCCAGCCTACAACGTGTCCCTCCTCTACGATCTGGATGCGCTACCGGCCAATAAAGACGATATTGTCCACCAGGCGGGTATGCTCAAGAGGAACTGCTTCGCCTCCGTGTTCGAGAAGTACTTCAAGTTCCAGGAAGAGGGCAAAGAGGGCGAGCAGAGGGCTGTGGTCCACTACAGAGAGGACGAGTCCATGTAAATGCAAATTCAGATATTTGTGTGACATGAATACTCTCGGCTGTATTAGAAGTTGTGGATTGACACGTTCTTTAGTTTAATTTTTAAGCTTTTAAACCTCTTGATGTGTTTTTTTTTTTCTTCTCAGGTATCTGGAGGCCAAGAAAGACAGAGTGACGGTTGTGTTCAGCACGGTGTTCAAAGACGACGACGACGTCATCATCGGCAAAGTTTTCATGCAGGTGCGTGAGGCCATATGTACGTGAAGTCAGCGAGCCGATTTAAAGGCCGTTATAATGCCTAGCATCACGTTAGCGCTGGCCGACCTGGAGCTAACGCAATAAGCTAAGTAGCTGACAAGCTCATCTCGAGAGCCGAACAGATTTCCTTCTTTAGCTGTCGAGCTAAAACATTTTCATTTCATAATATTTATATTAATGGCATTAATTAGAGTGTGCGGTCGACTTACTTGTGTGTAGGAGTTCAAAGAGGGTCGGCGAGCCAGCCACACGGCCCCCCAGGTGCTGTTCAGCCACAGGGAGCCCCCGCTGGAGCTGAAGGACACGGACGCCGCTGTCGGGGACAACATTGGATACATCACCTTTGGTCAGTACGCAAGCATTGGCTTACAGCTGCACTACTGTAACTACTTATCTACTAGTCCGATGTATTGACACTGATTGGACGTTTTCAGTCCTGTTCCCGCGTCACACCAATATCAACGCCAGAGACAACACCATCAACCTCATCCACACCTTCAGGGACTACCTGCACTACCACATAAAGTGCTCCAAGGTCAGTTTTGCCCCAGAGAGCGGGGGAGTCTGCATGGTTGACACCACAGATGGAAATCTCTACGTGCATGTTTGTGTGATGACAATGTCCTTTCCTCCCAAAGGCCTACATCCACACACGCATGAGGGCCAAGACGTCAGAGTTCCTGAAGGTGCTGAACCGCGCTCGCCCCGACGCCGAGAAGAAGGAGATGAAGACCATCTCGTACGTAGCCTCTCTCTGTACCCCACCGCTCACATTCAGGTTCAGCTCGTCTAATCATGAGACGCAGTGTCATGATTCCATGTTAGTGGTTTTATCCAACTGTTGTCTTATTGAACAGGTTTTATTTGTCCACTCCTTCCTTTTTCCATCGGTGACTTTGTGTGTATTTGAGGTGTGACTCTTTTTGCAGCCTTTGAAGTGAGTCACCTGAGGAATCTTTACAGCTCTCTGCTTTCCTAAAACCTCCAAACAGTTGTATCCTTTGAAATGATTGCGAAATATAACTTGTCAGAACAAAGAGAGTCTTTGTTCCGTGGTTAACGTGTAATTGAAACAATCGCCCCACGGCCGTCGTGTTGTGAAGAGGAAGAAACATTTCCCGTGAATTCCGTCTCTTGAAGATAGAAAAAGATGTTATCGGCTAAGAAATACTCGGAACCGAAAATAGATGTGCCGATCTCTTATTGTTAACTGTTTGCAGAGTAAATGATGACACTATTGTCCGTCAGTTCTACGTTTGACTACAGGTTTGTTGAAGTCTGTGTGCAGTACCAGGGAAGACGATATCCTTATGTGTCCTTGTTTTTGTTTTTCAGTGGAAAAACGTTCTCCCGCTGAGGCCAACCCTCCCCCCCCCCACCAGAGAAATCCAATCCCCTTGTGGACAAGCCCAGACGCGCTCCACTGAGACTCAACACCACATCGGACAGGACTCCTCTAGCCCCCAAATACATGTCCAGTCCTTCCTCTTTTCTTTTTTTTTTTTTTTTTTTCTTTTTTAAATGAATAATAATGTTGGCTCAAGATAAATGGAAACATGGGCATTCCCTGCTTTGCATAGTTAAAAGAGAATTATTAGCCCTATATAAATATATATATGAAAAAAAATTGACATTTTTGATACGATATCTTTTACTCCATTTGGTACTCTTGCTTGCCCCTGAACCTTCACCGTGAGATATATCCATGTGTTGGATGATTTCACCCCCCCCCCCTCTCTGTGCTCTCATTTCGTCTGTACCATTGTCATCTGAAAAAATAAAATAAATCACTTACGACAAGAACCTTCTGCTGTCCTTTCCTCCTCTTCTAAGAAAATAAGTATATTTGTAGATTAACCTGTATATTGGAAATGCTAAACTTTGGTTTTAATGGCTTTTAAAATATATTGAAGTATCTTTTATAACAACTATTGAAATAAACTAATAAATATGGATGACATTTAGGGGATTTTAGGTTTTCACCTGCCAGTGGCATTTTGGCTGATTTCTTCGGTGTATATATTTGTTTCTTTCTACATTTCTTCACATGGAAGTCATAATCTGTTCAGTTGGAGTATTCATATAATTACAGTAAGTACACAATCCACATTCATGCAAAAGTATCACTGCACTCTGTGATTAATAAAGTATATTGTATGAAGTATTAAAAAAAAAAAACAATGGCAACAAAATGAGCGTGGAGACTTTCTTTTGAAATCAAACATTTATTTACGGGCAGCCTCACAGTAACTTTACAGGTTAGCAAACAGTTTGATATGAAAGTTGGTTGAGTGACAGCAAAGCTTTTTAGGATCAGGCTTTGGCTTCCTTGGGCTTTTCATCTTCATTCTCGGAGGAGGAAGAAGAGGATGAATCTTTCTCATTTTTGGTCTTGAGTTTATTCTTCTTCCTTGGTGCATTGTTGACAGCAACCTTGTTCTCCTTCCTCCACTTTAGGGGGTTGATCTGCTTCAGGGGCTTTGGGGGGAGTGGATTTGTCAGATGGGGAGCTTTCTTGCTTCACAGGGGCTTCTTCTTTCACCTCTTCCTGCTGCTCGGGCACCTTGCTGTCAGGCTTTCGCTGGTCTGGAAAAAAAGAAAACATCAACGTGTTCAGCTTTCCTTTAATCTGTGTGCGATTCTACCAGAGAGTCAAGTGAACACAGGACAAAGAAATGAGATTTTCTTTCTTTTGCGATTGAGCATTACATTTATGATCCCAGTGTAGTGTTAGAATCTAGTGTGTGATCGCATGCAGTTAAGTGAAACAAGACGCTTTCAAGGAATGGTTTGACACGCTTGTTTGCTTTCTGGCTCAGAATGAGAAGATCGATATCTTTCTTTCTTTTGCAAGGAAGCAAATAAGCATGTTTCCCCAAACAATGTCTTCAAGAGGCGATGTGAGGGTTAGATTTGAGGTATTGTTCACACCTTTCCAGCTCTTTCAAATCTACAGACAGGCGGTCGAATCCTGATCATTTAAAGTTATCGTTCCGGGTGTGAAAGAAGCCAACTAGAAAGCATGTCAGTCAGTAATTCTTGTTAATAGAGATACACTTTTCCATCAGGTCAGTACACGGACATGCTGGAGTCTTTGTGAATTTTACTTCATATAGTCCAGAACTTACCGCGCTGCACCACAAAAGTAGGATAAGTATGCTAACAAGTAGGCGCACCTTACTTTTGTGTGTTTGTGCTATTGCCTATTTCCTGTAGCCAATAGGATGCATCTAAAGCTCTGACATCATGCAACCATCGTGCAGTATTTCTGAGCCGCCACCGTCCTCACCTTTCAGGGTCGGGAGTTATGCTCTGCATCAGTTGCTGGTAGTTATCCATTTCCGCCTCCAGCTTCATCTTCACACACAGCAGATTCTTGTTGTTTTCGACGTGGCGCTCCACCTGTGCCCTCACCTCCCTCAGCTCCGCCTCCAGGTGCAGTATCACCTGGTTGAGGGGCCCCAGGCGCTGGCTGTACTCCACTTTGGAGCTATCCAGGGCCTCCTCCAGATTGTGGATCTGAAAGGAAGCCATGAAGTGATTTTTTTTAGCCATTAGATATCAGACCGAGGAGGCCAGATGTAAAACGAATAGTTCCCCGTGACTTCTTTGGAGCATTTGTTTTGTTATGCAAGGGCAGATCCAGGTGGCAGTGAGACGGATGAAGAGTTTGTCTGTCTTAAAGTAGCAGGTTTTCATGGTAATGACAGGGCAGCCAGGTATGCTTGTGAAGAGGTCAGGTAGACTGACACCCATCATTCCGACTTTGATCTGACTGGTGTATTGAAAGGCGAAAAAATGGCGTCTCCAAACTTCTGAATAGACTTGTGTGTGTCTGTGGGGTTACCTTGCTTTTCAAACTCTGGATCTTAATTTCCAGAAATGTCCTCTGTTGGAGCAGTTCCTTGAGCTCTGACTTTCCAGAGTGCAAGTCCTCGTTATTCTGGGTCTCCACCACCTTGATGTTTTCAAACTGGAGAGGGAAAAATGAGATGAAAGTGGTGAGATGAACAGAGGAGATGGACTGAAGAGAGAAAGAGAAGAAGTAAACTACGTCTAGGTAACGTACCTCGCTCTGGTACCACTCCTCGGTGTCCTTCCGGTTCTTCTGGGCTAGTTCATCGTACTGGAAGCGGATCTTGTTGACAACGTCACCCAAGTTGGAGCTCTGAGACTTCATCTCCACCTTCACCTCGGAGTCCTTGATCTTCTCACGCAGGACATCCACCTCCTGCAAGAGCCACAGTTACAAGTTTGCCCTCAGATTTCACATGGATGCACTTTTGTGACACATTCTTGAATTGTTTCTGTCTCAATCCTCACCTCTTTGTGTTCCTGCTCCAGACAAGTGAGCTCCTCCTTCAACAGATTGATCTCTTTCTGTGTCTGCGTTTGGTTCAGCTTGGTATCCTCAATGGTCTTCTTCAGGTCCTCCAGGTCTTTTTCTAATTCTTTCTCTGCCTTTTCCTCCTCATCCAGCCTGCATACAAGGGGGGAGGAACCAACAATGATCCACTCAAACCACCGATGAAAACAAACTAAGTTTACTGAACTTTATTTCCTGAGCCAATTTTTTCCAAAACTAAAAAGTAGCATGAGATTCACTTTTTGTTGAAGTCTTCAGCAGCCAGTTTGGTGTTTTCAATCTGGAGCAGCAGCTTGGCGTTGTCCATGGTGATGTCTTTGATCTATGAAGATGAATGCATGATAGTAATATCGTTATTTGGATATAATTTGATTCAGCCTTAAATGTGTAATGCAGTTTGTCATATTTCATGAGAGGAAGCATGAACGCGAGAAGGAAAAATGTGCTCAGCATGGAATAAAAATAATTTCATATTTTTGTACTAAGAAATAAAGTGAGAATGAAACCTGATGACCAACCTGCTTCTTGAGATTATCCAGGGGTTTCTCAACCTCATCCCAGTCGCGCCCCTTAGGTGTCTTCCTCTTGGCCAAAATCCCATCAATCTCTTTCTCCATGTCGTCGTTCTCCTTCTCCAGGCGCCTCACCTTGCCCAGGTAGTCCGACAGCCGGTCGTTCAGACCCCGCAGTGTCTGCTTGTCGTCCGCGGGGGCCACGGGGGCCACGGGCGCGGCCGCAGCTGGAGGCTTGGCAGAAGTTGCCGGAGCGACGGCAGCGGAGTCTCTGTCCGTCTCGTTGTTGCGCAGCATAGTGCGCAGCCCCTCCAGGCTCGCCACGGACGCCCTGGAACCCCTTCCCCCTGCTCCACCGAACATGCTGGCAGCGGTGTTTGAAGGCATGATTGCTGCTGGATGAGAGGGAGCTGAACGACAGAGAGAGCGCTTCTGACTGGAGAGTCATGATGGATGTGATGGAGACAGGTAGGTTTTATACCTGGTTTTTACGCATGCATCCGCCCCTACCTATACCATTGGCTCCCGGTGCCCAGCACCACTCCTGGACAAACTGGTTCAGACTCCAAATTCAAGTATTTCATGTTGATTTTTTTATTTTCTCACTGTTTTACTGCACTTGTCCTCTCTTGATTGGACGCATGCAGAATTTAGGGAGGTGATGGGTGGTCCTTGTCGACCTTAAAAGCAGGTGAGGCTGCAGGTGCCTTCACAGCTCACCTGTTCAACTTCTGGGTTTCATCTCGCTGTTACAAACTTCGGAATGTCTAAACCGAGAGATTACAGCAGCCAGTCCTACTCCCCCGGCATCAAGGGACCGGTGAAAAGCTCCTCGACCGACAATAAGATCGACCCGTCGGTCAAATCCAGGGAGAAGGACGCCATGGTTGGACTCAACGACAAGTTCATCCAGTTGATTGACAAGGTGCGTAAATTAAAATGTGTTAATTAATTTAAAAAAAAAATGTAATTAATTAATTGGGCTACTTATAGTTTATTTATCAGTAAAAAGGTTAGCCTATGACTAAATAATGACGTTATGTAATACATTATGTATTAAGCAATATACATATAAAGAACAGGTCGTTGTTCTCTCTTTTTGATGTTGTTTTTTGATGGGCTATAATAGTAAAATATTTAATCTATTCAATATGTTTGTGCATTTTTCATGTTTTTATGAATTAATAATTCCTTTTGTTGGTTGTGTTCGTTTGCTATTTCATCCACTCATTAAACAAACGCAAAATGTCCCAATGAGTCCTACAAGCAGAGCAATACTTCATTAAACAACAAATGAACAACAAGCCTTTGTTGAGGTTATAACATTTGTAAAAACCTGTTTCCAATCCGGGAGCATGACTGATATATATATAATATATTATATTATAGCAGCCTCTGTCTGCTGTAATTAGCTATTTATGTAACTTGGAGGCCATGAAAAGTGTCTCCTTTTGCTCGCTTACCTTCATGACAATGTTGGAGGTACATGTAGGACGCCACCTTGTGGATAATGATATAACTTTAAATCTGAATTCTGTTAGGGTCATCAGTCTGTCAACATAACCTGAAATATATAAATAATATAAAAAACAGACTTCTAAATGTGTTCTGTAGAAGATAATCCACATAGTTTATGTGTGTCTCTGTCTTAGGTGAAAAACCTGGAGGATGAGAACAAAATGCTTGACAAGAAGCGAAACATCCTCAAGGACCAGGGGGACTATGAGGGCAAAGTTGACGACATCGTCAAGCAGCTGCAGAACGAGATGGAGCAGCAGATCGAGAAGTTGCTCAACGACCAAGAAAAACTGCAGGCGGAGCTGCTCCAGAACCAGGAGGAGGTGGACCACAACAAGAAGAGGTCAGTCGGTCACGGCCAGTGTTTAGACACACTAGACCCCCTTCAGCTTTCAGTATGTCCTTATTTGGATGAGAATATGTAAAGTGAAGGGAAATCATGTCCCTGTTTTCCACAGCTGCAAACACAGTATAAATCCAGAGGACTTGAATATGTCATTAATGGAACAAACTCACTTTTCACCCTTTTTATTGGTTTCAGGTATGAGGAGGAGTTTGTGAAGAAAGCTGAACTGGAGAATGAGTTTGTCATCAAGAAAAAGGTCCTGTCTGTTTTTTACGCTGCTTATTTATTCAACCTCCGGCAATCTGATATTTTGGAAATAGTGTCTGCCCTGTATTTAACCACATGCATGTGTTTAATGTGTATGTGTCTAACAGGACGTAGATGGCGGTCAATTGGAGACAGTAGATCTGGTTCTGGAGCTGGAGGACCTGATGGGGAAACTGGACTTCCTCAGGGTTGGCTATGACGAGGTAAATAAATGGCTTATTGTATTTTTTTATTGTTCACCCTTTTGTTTTGTTACATATCGCTCTCTGTGCTGTCAAGCTACAACCTGGTATCTGTGTCTGCCCCCTTGCAGGAGATCAAGGAGCTGGAGTCACTCGTCCAAAACAAGACAGTGGTCCTCCATGACGACAGCAAACGGTCTCTGGACATGGACAAGATCATCGAGGGGGTCAAGAATCAGTATGCCAACATGGCCGCCCACACCAGGGAGGAAGCCGAGCACTGGAACCAGAAAAAGGTGAGGAAGAGGAAGATTCTTCCTTGAACCAGCCCTGTACAGTTACAAACAGACTCGGTGAAAATGTGCCATCTCCCCCACCCCTTAGATGGATGCCATGGTCTTACCTGCAGGACAGCGTGAGAAGGATGTGCGTGATTTAAAGAGGGACATCTCAGACCTGGTGCGCCACACCCAGAGAATCAACGGTGACCTGGAGGCTCTCCAAAGGAAGGTTGTGATCACACAGATAAACACTCCCAGAGTTCACCAGTTCAGCCGCCGATGTTCTCTTTACACTCTGTGTCTTATGTTAGGAAGAGTCCCTGAAGAAGGACATCATTGACATGAGGACAGAAGGCGACAACAACCTGGAGAGGGCTCGGGAGGACATCGCCCAGCTGGAGGAGGCCTTGAGGCGGACCAAGCAAGACTTGGCCGGACAGATCCACCAACACCAAAAGCTGATTAACCTGAAGCTGGCCCTGGACATCGAGATCGCCACCTACCGCAAGCTGCTGGAGGGCGAGGAGCAGAGGTATGTGTGAGAGCACATTGCTGTTCGTTGTCACATGTACCGCCATGCGTTTAATGCTTGGACTAACAACTGTCTCCGTCTCTCCTCTCTGTGAAGAATATACCACCTCATGCGCAATGGAGGTGAGAACCATTTCATGCATATCAACCTTCTCATGACTGATTCATGTTTTGTGTGCCGCTAAAATCAAACCTCTCTTTCGCTCAGATTTCTAAAAAGCAAACCAACCAATCCAAGTCCTTACTCGCACGCAGATGTTCACCTGCCACTGAAGCAACACCTGCTGGAGAAGCCACGAGCCCAAGAACCCGCCGTTGTCCCGGCTGGTACCCTGATACCGGCAGTGTACCCGGCCTCCAAGAAACGCCTGCTGATCCGGGTGGAGGTGGAGGAAGGCCGAGTCGTGTCTGAAAGCTCCCATTACGCCGAAGATTGACCGGCACTGTCCTCTCACTCCTCTGTGTCTGCAGCATTACAGTAAATCCGCAAAAATGTGAATTAAATAATGAAATAAACTCTTCAGGAATCATCATGAAAGTGGCTTTTAAATGTAACAATCCTCATGCTATCTCTGTGTGCTGTCTAACAATAGCTTCTTGGCCAGTGGAAGGATTTTTCGTAGAAGTTGGGAGACATTTTGTTTATGCCAAGCTGTGTTTTAAAAAGAAATATCTTTTCTTATCTTTGTTTGCCTTTGCAAATGTTCCTGGCACCATCAGTGTGTTTCTTGCAGGTGATCTCTCATGCCTTTGTGTGCTGAATACGATTTTGTCTTTGTGGAATGTGGAAAATAATATCTAATGGTGTAAAGGTTTCTCAATGACGTCAACAATAAAATAATTATCTTGTGGCTTCGAGCAGGTTGGTTAAAGGGAGTGTTTCTGTTCTCACAAAGATAATGCTTCCTAGAATTCAGGGGGGGTTCTGCATGCTTGAAATATCTTTTCCTTCTGCTTTATACCTCAAACATGTCCAAATGATCACAAGGAAATCAGAGGGCATCCAAAGTTTACTCTTCGATATTTACAGTTGAATACAATTAATAAATAAAGCGTCAAGAGTACAGTCGCTTAAAGCCCGACAGTCTCGTCTCATCTTCATTTTCCTCCTCCTCCTCCTCCTCCTCCTCCTCCTCCTCCTCCTCTTCCTCTCCTGGTTCTCCTCGGTCTTACGTGCACAATATTCCGATGTGGAAAAACATGCTAGAACACGGCAACACATACAAACGACACAGTGACGGTGTACCCTGACCCCATGATGATATCCCATCCCTCCTCATGTCCCCATAACAGTCAGACCTTGTTTGCTGTTTAATTGGATTAAAGTCTCCTTTCCACCCACATGTACAAACACGGCTAAAAAACGTACTTTGATTGGGGAAACAAAAAGCAGGGCATGTATTCTATGTTTAATCAAGTCTCAAATAAAAATCGAATTCCCCCTGAATGGATCTTACCGACAAATATAACTTTTGGTCTTCGAATGGAAGTATTTGGACGCAGCAGGCGTTTCTCTGAAGCCTGCTTTTACAGTATTTAAGCTTCCTGTAACAGTTTATCTAAAAATGGCAAAAACTGGGAACTCATTTCCAACTTTAGTTTGCACACGTGGTCTTCGTCACTACTTTCTCAGACTGCCACCTCCTCCTCTGACCCCTGCATCCTTCGCCTCCATCTGTCTCTGAGCTTCCGGAGAAGCTTGCACGCAGGTTCTGTGTACTGCCTGTTCGAGAGGCCGAGCACCAGCGGCACCACCGCCATGCTTCCGATGCCGCTGCACGACAGCACGATGTGAGTGGTGGAGCTCCGCTTGGTGTCGCTGATCAGGAACACGATGCACACGTGCATGTAAATGAGGTAGGGCACCCAGCACGCGAGAAAGGTCAGCGACACGGCCACCACGCAGCGAACGTAGCGCAGGTTCAGCCTCTGCTCGCGGTCCGAGGCCTGACTTCCCCGCTCCACCGAACGATGGAGGCGACAAATGTCCTTCATCTGGCCTCGGGTGATCCATAACACACGACCGGTCATGACAGCGATGGCTAGTATGGCAGGAAGGACGAGTCCATACACCTCCAAGAAGATAAAAGCATTGGGGAACACTCGCCTGTACGAGCAGCACGTGGTTTTGTTTGGCGAACAGTTTGAAAGTAGTGTTATATTTTGGCTACTTGCACAACAGTTGTTCCAATCCGGCCCTGTCCAGTTATTCCACCCGAAAGCAGGCAGGGATGCGTACAGAAGTGGCGGGGCCCAAACCACAAGCAACGCCAAGGGGAAGCTGCGATGCATCCACAAGTTACTGTAATGCAAAGGGTCGACGATGCAAATGTAGCGCTCGTAGTGGACCATCACCAGGTTGAACAGGAACGCCAGGAAGAGGAAGTTTGGGAAAACGTGCACCACCAGGCAGGAGCTCAAACTCAACTCCCGGTTCAGACCCATGAGCGGTATGAAGGGCAGCGCCACGCCCGTGCACAAGTCCGCCACCAAGAGGCTGAAGAAGAAGTAGTTGGGCGTGTCGTGGAGCTGGCGGTTCCAGGCGATGCCCAACATGATGACGAGATTGGCCAGGATGATGGAGGTCGACAGCGGTACGGTGATGGCATAGATGAGCTGCTCCCCGGAGAGCAGAGCGTGGGAGTCGTTGCGGTCCATCATGTGTGAACTCTGCACACTTCCTCTCCTTTGCAGCCTGGTTCTGCTCCCATCAAGGCACAGCTACCCTGCAGGGAAGGAGACGCATTGATAGAGTAGCAGTGGAGGCCCAACGAGCTGACATGTTCCATCACAGCAAGTGAAACTTTCAGAGGAAATGCAAAACCAGAAAAGAGAGTACAATAAACTCAGAAAAGGTATTCTCTATTCAAGAAGATTAAGTTATGGAAACCTCTTGAAAGCCAATTTAAGTCAGTGAAAGCTACGATCTCACAGTTAAACAAAGTGACCTCTCATTGGGAATAAAGAGTGAGAAAAAACCCCACTGTCATCTCTTAATCAGTGAAACTAATTTAACCTCTTTGTTAGCTGACAGCCGAGATAAGAGCACGTGTTAATGGATTCGAGTCCGCTGTCATTCAATAATTCATGAGCTGGGACTCTGGAGTTACACCCCGCTTTGTCTCCGTTCTATGTCCCGGAGATCATTTAACAAGTTTGACTTTAGGAAACAAGTCAGTTTATGGTCAAGTGACATTCTCACATTGAACTACAATAAACCATATATTACACATCGTTTTTATTTGTCCATACGTTTTATGAATAGACTTTATTATGTCGGGTTTGCAACTGTGCAACAGCTGTTAATGTGCAGAAGCGAGCATTATATATGATTACGATCTTACAAATACATATTGCAAAATACCAGTATTTCTAATGTCCACATATATAACATACCATTTGCTAAACAGCTCAATAAAGTGAATTGTATGGTATCAAAGTCCTGTGACAGTTTCAACAAATACAGCTTTTAAAGAGCCTTTAAGAGGTGAATACACAGAAAGAAATTGGTTTTACTTAAATTACTGCTTTAACAAAAAAGTGCCTCTCAATAAAAAAAGTTAAAATATTTTGTAGTCCTGCAATAATGTAGAAAGTGGTTTTAAAAGAGTAGAAAATATACTACTTCAAATAAATCACGAGAAATATATAATGATGTTTCAAAGGATGACTTATGATAACTTTTACCTTTTTTTTGGATGAACGGTCCAGTCATGTATCCTTTGGCAAAGGAAATGCAAATAAATAACAGTTTCTTATCACAATCCTGATAACCTCGACCCGGTTCCCCTGCATGTCACATCCACAAGCAGAAGATTCCACATAAACGACAGGAGCTTCTTCTTCTTCTTCTTAAGTTTAATAATCCTTTCAGTCAAGTCAGCCACGGCAGCCTCACCACAAACTACAAGGGAGACAGAGAGAGCAGCCTAAGTCTGTTCCTCTCAGAGACTTTAAAGGGGAAGTGCACACTGAAGGAGGAGGTGGCAGCAGTTCTACTGCTTATAGTCTCTTCCTGACGGGGGGGGTCGCCGGTCACACTGAGGATGAAGCAGCAGTGTCCGTTAACACTTCACCTATGAACTTGTCGTTTCATCCATCAGCCCCTTGCAGCTTTTGTTCACTACTGCCCAGGATTGCAGTTCGCGTCCATGAATGGAAGACGGATGGAAAGCTGTTATCACTGCAGCCTGAAAATGATAAGGACATTCCTGGGTACCATCAGCAGGCAAGCGGTCTGGTTTCACACCCTCCATAATGGCCCCCAGATGCTTCTGATATTTATGATCTTCAAGTGAAACCTCAGTTCGAGGAACATAAGAAATGGGAAATACATCTAACAATATTCTTTCCCTTGACACATATTTTCAAGCCAAGAGAGTTCACAATTTTTAAGTTGTCTCAGGGGGAAAATATTGTTAATCAGAATATTTAGAAGCTGTAGAAACATGACTTTCTTTAGAACTGTGGACAAGAGCGGGAGTTTTAAGGATGTGGGGGATTTAAATTAATATTTTTTTAATTAGATTGTTTTATAGCATCAGTGAAATGGTACAGGGGCCCAAACAAATACATAACATGAATTAATAAATGGGTAAACCTGTAGGAATTAACATAGACATGAACACTGAAACAAATGAAAGAAATCAAAATGAGCAATATTCTTTATTCTTTGATTGCCCTCTAATATATGTATTCATTATTTTTTTGGCCAGCTTTTAATCATTTACTTTAAATTGATCACACATTTATTAATTTATCTATGTTTTTGTTTAGCTAAGCACTAATTGGAGCCAGGCGTTAGTTAGCTTAGCCCAAAGACTGCATGCACAAGGAAACAGCTATAGTCTAATAGTCGAAGTTCAAAAATACGCCTCTAAAGCTCACTAATTAACACATTGCATATTATTTGTTTAATTTATATACAAACAGAAATGGAAAACCAACAAATTGCGGTTTTACGGGAGCTACTGTACCCGCATGCAGCGACTAGCAGTAAGCTAACGTTAACTCTTTCAGTAAGAAAAATAACAAGTGATTAAATGTATAATTTGTTTAAATCGATAGGATTATCCTCAACATACACGCACAATAATTAACTTTTATTCAACACAATGAAAGCCAAGCTGCTATTTTTTTATTTCACTTTTAGAAACATTCTTTCAACGTACGACACTCTGTAAAAATGAGTCAGCTACGTCCACAACATACGGTTGTAGAGTCGGTTAAAGATGTATTTCGCTGCCTTTACTTGGCCCTTTACTGACCTAAACATATACATACAACAGTGTGTATGTCTGAATTCATAACAGCTGTCACACGCGTCTCATATTTAAACACAGTGCTGGATGGAAGGCCCGAGCGGTGACCTGCTTTCTTAGCCAGGCACGGAAGACTCCTTCACTGATAGTCGAGATGGACGAGCTCCCGTCAGATAGTGGTTTTAAACAGAGATGTCTGGGAAGACACTACGCAGGGAGGACACGCTGGACATGAAACATCTTGACATTACAGAAGGAGAAGATGGAGCGCCTTGGCTTTCCGAGAACACCGGATCCTCTTCAACAGTACACCAGTGATCTAATCTGTATGCTTCATACACAGTGGAAACATCACATATGACTAAGTAAAGGTCCTCTACTGACTGGCTTTTTTTGTCAAGCTAGCTAACGTTAGCTAAAATGTGGCACCACTTCCTTGCTCCAGACGACACTGGAAGGGTCCTGGAACTTAAATATGTACGGTTTTTGCTTTATATTAATAAAGAAATACCTGCTTTAATTGCTTACACTTCCTCGTTTCTTTCAGGGTATTGAATTCCTGACATTCCCAGCTAAAAATGTGGCCTTTTTGCAGTGTCTTTTCCAGAAAGATACACAAATATATCTTAACTGAATCCCTTATAAACAATATTTTAAATCAATTATTGTGTGAGTTTTTGTGAAACAGATTTGAACGGGTCCTCTTCCTGCAGACATGTGTACCTTGGCACCAGCATCGGTCTCTTTGTTCGGCAGCAATATGAGCTGCAATTTAATAGATCGGGCTTTCGGTCCCTGTGGAGGTCTGGAGGTGATAATCCTCTGGGCCACTCCTCGCCTTTTGTCTTCACAGCAGGCTGACCTTTGAGGCCAAACACACCGCTGTGACAGATGAGGAAAATATCCTGCTTCCAGTGAACGCCACACACAGGTGTTATTTCCTCCTCTGGTCACTAAATGACTTTCTGCAACCTATAGTGCAGAAATACATACAATAAAACATGCAACACCTTCGAGAATCACACAAACGCGTGTGTGCGCGTGTTTTACGGCCCACCTGTCTGGGTGAGTTATGCATGGATACATGCACATTTGGACACACACAATGAGGATCCAGGTACAAGGAAGAAGCACTTGTGCGCAGGATACCGACTGACGGTTGTTTTTCCTTCATTGTGACTTACAGCCGGTGGGAGAGGAGGATAACAGAACAATAGAGTTCAACGGGCAGAGCAGCTTTTGGCCTTGAAACAAGACTTTTAAAACGTTTGAGCGCTGGTTGGTTTATTTTAAAGTTAATCTCAGTGAGCATAAGAAACATTCTGTATGTTTGTCGTTGCAGTGGGAGGACAGGAAGATAAATGTGGCGTTCAACAGGAGTAATGACTTAATGAAGCTCCTAATAGTATTTGTGTGGTAGCGGGTCACCGTGGGCTAAACATAACCTGATCTATTAAATGATAAGAATCTTAATTTGGTATTAAAGACAGGGTGATACGCATTTGGTCTTTTCTAAATCACAGTCATCCACTGTGACTGTACTCACCAGCTTCTCATTTTTAATCCTCTACCTTGAATCATCTCTCGGCTGTGGTTTTTGGGAAACTTGTCGTCTCCTGTCGTCTGCAGACTGACTCAACTCCTCTGTTTACTCATATCGGATAAGATGGATAAAACCAATCAGGGTTAAAAGTGAATCAAACCCGAGTCTAAACAAGTTAAGAGACGCTTTCTCAGCCACTCCACAAGTCACCGGGACCCACAAAACATTTCCTCCTCGAGTATGAACTCACTGCTTCATCTTATCTCAGCTGACACACACACACACACACACACACACACACACACACACACACACACACACACACGAGTATAAACTATTTTATCAGATGAAGAGTTTCAAGAGGTGCAGGTAGCCATTAGCCCTGAAGAAAGTCAATCATTTATTGTGTTGTATTTACATCACAAACTTGGCGAGATAATTCCTGAACAATGTGTCCGAGAGCTGGAAGACCACACACACACATATATATATATATATATATATATATATATATACATACACACACAGTGGGGCAAAAAAGTATTTAGTCAGCCACCAATTGTGCAAGTTCTCCCACTTAAAAAGATGAGGCCTGTAATTTTCATCATAGGTATAACTCAACTATGAGAGACAAAATGAGAAAAAAAAAAAATCCAGAAAATCACATTGATTTTTAAAGAATTTATTTGCAAATTATGGTGGAAAATAAGTATTTGGTCAATAACAAAAGTTCATCTCAATACTTTGTTATATACCCTTTGTTGGCAATGACAGAGGTCAAACATTTTCTGTAAGTCTTCACAAGCTTTTCACACACTGTTGCTGGTATTTTGGCCCATTCCTCCACATGCAGATCTCCTCTAGAGCAGTGATGTTTTGGGGCTGTCGCTGGGCAACACGGACTTTCAACTCCCTCCACAGATTTTCTATGGGGTTGAGATCTGGAGACTGGCTAGGCCACTCCAGGACCTTGAAATGCTTCTTACGAAGCCACTCCTTCGTTGCCCGGGCGGTGTGTTTGGGATCATTGTCATGCTGAAAGACCCAGCCACGTTTCATCTTCAATGCCCTTGCTGATGGAAGGAGGCTTCCACTCAAAATCTCACGATACATGGCCCCATTCATTCTTTCCTTTACATGGATCCTTTACACAGTTGATTTCTTCACACCAAGCTGCTTACCTATTGCAGATTCAGTCTTCCCAGCCTGGTGCAGGTCTACAATTTTGTTTCTGGTGTCCTTTGACAGCTCTTTGGTCTTGGCCATAGTGGAGTTTTGAGTGTGACTGTTTGAGGTTGTGGACAGGTGTCTTTTATACTGATAACAAGTTCAAACAGGTGCCATTAATACAGGTAACGAGTGGAGGACAGAGGAGCCTCTTAAAGAAGAAGTTACAGGTCTGTGAGAGCCAGAAATCTTGCTTGTTTGTAGGTGACCAAATACTTATTTTACCAATTAATTCATTAAAAATCCTACAATGTGATTTCCTGGATTCTTTCCCCCCCCCCCATTCTGTCTCTCATAGTTGAAGTGTACCTATGATGAAAATTACAGGCCTCTCATCTTTTTAAGTGGGAGAACTTGCACAATTGGTGGCTGACTAAATACTTTTTTGCCCCACTGTGTGTGTGTGTGTGTGTGTGTGTGTGTGTGTGTGTGTGTGTGTACCCCCTTAGTGAGTAAACTAGGACAAAAAACAATTATGGAACAACTTCTGACTAAGACCAAAGGAACATTAAAAGGGATGTCAAAGGCACCGGTCACTGTAATGAATCTCTCGTTGACTCTTTTCCTGTTTAGTTTAGTGTCTCAGATTCTTGCACAAGAGCGTACTTAAGAAAACAATGAGCAACAGCTTGTTTTAAACTTCTGTCTAGACCAGATCAAAAACTCTTTCTTTCTCTTTCTTGAATTATCTTAAAGTCCTGATGAAAACAGGACAAATGATCGTTTGGATGCTACGATCCCACTAAAGCGGGTCAGATATACGATGGCGAGACCACACATGTTAAAATCCTGAGGGGGAGGGGGAAGCATGTTCTCGAGTGTTAAGAGAACAAAAAGTTCGTTCATGAAATGTCTCTGCTGGATTTCCTCCGATCTTCCTGCTGCTCTCTTTACCGGTCGGGTCTCTGGAGGCAGAAGACCTTCGCCTGGTTGTCTCCTGACGCGGTTACTGCGAGAGACGCCTCCCTGGAGGAGAAAAAGAACAATGAATTTAGCGATTGAAGAAACAAAAAAGACGACGTAGAAATAATGAGAAAGCAAAGTCGAACCTGTTGATGGTGAAGTTGAGGATCTCGGCAGTGTGGCCGCGGTACTCGGACACGATGCCGCCAGAACGGGCGTCCCACAGGCGCAGCGCTCCGTCTAAGCAGCAGGTGGACACCACAGAAGAACACTCCTCCCACTGCAGGTGAACAATACCAGCCTGGAGGACCACGGAAAGGAATATAAACAGACAGTTCTTCTTCTGCTTCTCTGTGCGCTAAACTGAGCAAAAGGTTGTGCCGCGTGGTACCTCGTGATAGCACCTGTGCCTCAGGACCTGCGTGCCGAGGTCGTATATGGCCAGAGTCCCGTCCAGGTACGCCACAGCAATGAGAGGCAGGCTGGGAAAGGACGAGAGAGACGAAACGTTTGAGCATTTAATAAGCAGCAAGCTTGAGTTTGAGAAATTTGAGATGTTGGAACTAACCAGAAAACACACATTTACAGTGTATCAAGTGAAAATGATTAAATCGTGGCACCTGGATTCACCTGGTGAGCCTACATGGAAACTTTCTGCAGTTTAATGTCTACTCAATGACTTCACAACTCACATGTTGCAGAATCCCACAGACTCGACAGAGTTGGATTCCGTCTCCTCCGTCGGCCCTTTGGCTTTGCCGCTCTCCAGCGAGAACGCTCCGACCACCTTCACACGGCAAGCGACACAACCAACACAGAGGTTAGAGCACTTATAAAAACGGCATCGGGACAATGTGTCAGCTTCCTCCTCCATCTTTCCGGACACCCACTTTGCCTGTGGCGGTGTTGACGAGTTTGGCAAAACCGTCCACGGAACCGGTCAGCACCAGAGAGCCGTCCTTGTTACACGCCAGGCAGGTGAGCGCCCCCTTGTGTCCATCCTGACCTGTCGAACGAGAAAAAACCAAATGAATTTATGGATCTTTCACAAAGATTCTTGATGAGAAGCTCAGATATGGTCTGTATTGTGGATCACGGACTATTTTTAGCGTCTTATATAACAGAGTTTTATTGAGCTGTAACTCTGCAGTTGATTAATGGCCGATACTTTTAGAGTTTCCCTTATTGGCTTGTATTTACTGTTGTTTTCCATGAAGCAATGACCTCTTTTAACTCTTTTCTCACTATCACAATAAATGCCAGACTGACTTTCCCCATCGGGGCTGGAGCGGCACGGTCACCTCCTTCCTCTAACACGCTCTCATCTAGATAACGCAAATCTACTAAAAACCTTAAATGTAGGAAAACAGCAGGATGAAACTACATGTCGAGCTGCCAGACTCACCTTTAATGACGTGGGCGGCGTTTCCCTGCTTCAGATCCCACACGCGTACCGTTCCATCCTCATAACCCACCACGGCCCGTTTACCTGGGGACATTTTCACAATTCAGTATTTTCACACCAAGACTTCTGAAGATGTCTCCAGATTATTTCTGTGGGTGAATTTGTGTCTTGTATTTTCGACATCTCTCACCATCGGGGAGGACTTTGCCGCTGGTGGCCTGGCATGCAGAACTCTGGAAGGTTTTGCAGTCTCCTGAAGGGATCTTCCACATCCACACGTTGCCATCGTCTGTGCCCGCCAGCAGCACCGGAGCGCAGGGATGCCACTCCAACCACTGAGGAGGAAGCCGGGTAAAGACAACCACAACATAACAGCTGCGTTAGACACAGATTATTTCCCGCTGCAGTTTGCTACTGGTAGTCAAAGAGCAGATCTACAGGGCAAGATTGGAGAATGTCTGATCCTTCACTTCCTCCACAAGACCACAAGTTCTCAGCCTGAGCGGTCATCCCCTGTTACTTGCTCATAAATTCCTTCAGCCCACATAAAAATACTTTTCACAAGTGCTTACAGATGCACAAACTAAACAGACACTACTGCTGATGCAGAAGCCTATTATTGGATTGCACTCTTTCCCTCCTCACCTCCAGATCGCCCACTTCGAAGGACCAGACCTCCTCTTTGGTTTCTACTTTCCAGACTTTAATCATGCCGCTCATGTCGCCGGTAGCCACCATGGAGGAGTCGTGGCTGAACACGGCGCACGTCACAGAGTCTTTGTGACCTGTGGAAACAACAGGGGAAAAATGACTGCTTCTGTACACGCAGTTTGGATCTTCTAGCGCAGCCTTCAGTCGGCCTCCGACACTCACCGGTGCACTCCAACAGAACTTCTCCGTTGCTCACCCTCCACACGTAGGCCTTATCGTCCTCCCCTCCCGTTACAGCCATGCTGTTTGTCGCGGGATCCAAACTCACGCAGAACACGGAGCCTGGACAAAGAAAGCCATTTAAAAGTTGAACACACAGGATCTGCCTGCTGATGCGTGAAATCAAGGCGAGGTGCTACCGGTGTGTTTGGAGAAGGTGAGCTCGCTGTCGTCTTGGTCCTCTTCCATCTCGTTGTCGGTTTCCCAGCCTTCGTCATCGTCTGGAGCGTCTTCAAAGTCGACATCATCCAAGTCATCAGCCAAATCATCTTGGCGAGAGGGAAAGAGAGAAAATTCAACTTTAAGGTTATTGAAATTCAGTTACTGTAGCAGTACAAAGACATCATTTAATATATACAAGTATAGAAACAGGGTAAATAACAAAAGGTACATAAACTAAGAGAATAGATACTATAAAAGAGCATTTAGAGACCAATAAAATAAAGTGAGTGGTGCTGATAAAGTAACAGTGGTGTGATAAATAACATTATACAGAAGGTCATCATTAAAGGGCCCTTCGGCTGAAATAAAGCCCCACAAATCCTGAGCTAGGCCCTCAAACTTCTGTCAGAAAGTTCAGTTTGGTTGATATGTGATGCTAACGTTCGTCCAAAACAAATCTCTACCCTGACACAGGTGTGGCCACAGTAAACATGCTGCCAAAAGTGACTTGCAGTAGAGTTGTAAACAGTTTTCAACCAACCGGGATCAGGCTCCATCTCGTTTAGGTCGATGACTTCAATGATTTCCTCATCTCCGTGGAGATCAATCGTATTTTCTTGCATGTTGTCCATGCTCTTAGCGGGCTAAAAGCTAGCAAAACAACCAAAAAGTAGTATAACACACGCGGGTAAAGCTAACGGTAGCTAACCTGGCTCTCACTGTTAGCTAAGCACTGACAGAATCGGTTAACGGTTACACTTTTGTATGTGAATATCAATATAACAGTCGTTAAATATCAAATGAACTGCCTCCCCATGTTATCTTCACATGCTGCGGAGACTTCAGAGACAGACGCGCGTTGATGACGTGTGGACGTGGTCGCAACAACTTCAGCGTCATTCAGCTCCGCGACCACAAGATGGCGGTGCTGTGCAAAACTGGTGATACTGCTCAGAAAATACTGTTAAACCAGTTTGGAGGATGTTTAAAAGCCTGGAGATGGTTTATAAAGATGCTTCGACCTCTTATTGTGTCATTTCTCCTCATAAACATAAACATTAACACTAAACTAATCTGTCTTTTTACGTTTTGGATGAGACTTTAGCATGATAGCATAATAATACCAATGAACTGCTAGTTTTTTCTAGTATTATTTCAATTTTGCTTGTTTTTTATGAATAGTTTTCTGTCGAAGTCAATTTCAATAGAGCGATATTGACCTCAAAGTGACACAAATAATATATATGAGTGTGTTGGCTTTCAGAAAGAGAGACACGTTTTTTTTAAATCATAGCATTCGTATTAGATACTAAAAATATCAAACAATTTGTCAAATAATAACAATCTTTTCTTTTCTATTTCTATCAATAATTAGGCAGACATAGACTTCCAGCATCAAATATGTACAGAGCCATTATTTTCATAGTTTTTGTGCAACCATCACAAAACCCAATTTGCCTCCAGCTGATTTCAATAACTGTATTTCTGTTTCTTGTGTTTGTCATCAGTATCATGATCAGCATCATGCAGAAAATATCTTTTACGTAGTTCCTATTTTTGAGCATTTTCATAGGAAAAAAATAGGAACAGGAAGCAAAAGTCCTTTTACATGCAAAAAAATAATTCTCGGTCACACAGTCGCTCTTAAAATAGCCCTGTGAAGTGTTCCTCATTGTGTGATTGGAATAATATGTCCCTCTCAGTCAGAACAGAAGTCCTTCTCTCTCATTCCCTCCATGATTAACACTCGGCGGCCCTCTAGTGAACTGATACTCATTATTCATCATGCTCCATTACTGATGTGTGCAGTGACACAAAACTGTAATCTACGGGCTGTTATTAGCGGAGCAGAGGTTAAGCATTGCCTTGTGGGATTTTTAAACTCAAGTAACATTATGACAAAACATTAGAAAGGTGTAGATTTCTGTGTTATCAATGCTTAAAATCAGGTTTATTTTTCTTAATGGGGACCTTGTGGTACAGTATCAAGCTCCTCTCGTTGTGATTTTGGCAGCTGCACAGTCAGACGACACTGTTTAGAGATATTTTAGGGTGTAAATCTATCTGAAACTGTCAGTGCAATCAAAGCAGTAGAGGGACCATTTTTTTTTAATTCTCAGGTTTCCACCAGCTTGAATCTTGACCTCTGACCTCCCTCTGCAAGGGGAACGAGAAGACAAGCGCCTCTTTCTGAGTTGATGTTTGGATGTATGTATATGTAAGACTGCAGTAAACCACAGGACTAACATTAGTGGCCCCCTCTCTTCCTTCATCGCTCCATCAAAAGCTCCATCGCCTGAGATATTTTAACACTTAACACAGTTTGTCTACCTCAGGTTTTTGGGGTTTTATGTCCCCTGCTATATGCTGCTGGCAGAGCTCAGCCGCTGCATGCCCAAATAAGTTTTACTGGCTGCCCAGGCCCCCCCCCCCCCAAGTTTTAAGCCTTCCCTGGAAAAATACAACCGTCTCATGATGTGGAAACATCAGAGTGTACATTATTATGACGTTTTCAATCTGCAGTGAGTGAGAGACTCTCGGCCAGGTTGCGAGGAACGCTGGAAAGTTAGACGACATAAGTTACAGCCGCTTTATTTCGTCAATCTGTTTCGACAGTTCATCGCCTTTTTGTTTTCTTCTGGCTGTCGAGCTGGCAGAGGACTTCATTCAGCTCCTGTTCACATGACTTAAAGGCCTCTAACGTTGTTGGATTCCTTTGGGAATGTCAATCAGCAGATGATACAAACTGTATGCAAATACAAATGTTTTAAATAAACTCTTTTTCATACAGAAACATGGCAAGCGGTCACTGTTTTTCCATGAAGAAAGCAGTTAGACCACCATGAGACTCTGCATTAAAACCCAGACGAGGGGACTCTTTTCGGCTTAGCAGCTCTGAGGTTCATCAATAAAATCCAGAAACGTCAAATTCGACCGGTCACATCAAAGAAAGATTACACGACTGGATAAAGTTGGATCCGCAGGTTTAATCCGAGTCAGGAGCATAGACTGTACATACAGAGGAGAAACAGGAAATACCATATATGCAATAGAAATCATGAGCTGGTTTGACCTCAGACAACATGTGATTCAGTCCCCTCAGCAACCACGACATCCAATAAAACAGCAATCATTGGCTGAAAAGAATTGCTGTTTCACCTCTTTCAGTCAGTTTCTCTTTTCTCTTCATTATCAGCATCTCTTGTGAGGTTTTAGTGAGATCTTTCACATGATGTGGATCACAGATTTTGTCGATTATTCGTCTGTATTTAGGTGTAGGATACGAATGCAGGACTTTCACATTGCTGTTACAGCACTTAAGTCAAATATCTGAGTACTCCTTTTGAATCTGAACATCAGAAAATAAGTCAAATGTATGATTCCAACAACACTGACACGTTCAAACATTTGAAGGTGAGAGAATTGATGCCTTCGGGTGTCACAGCAAACTGGAGGTTTTCATGCTTTTCACTTGCAGCACATTGGGTGGGCTTTCTCTGTGCCATCATCAGGACAGCAGAGACCAGCAGCGACCCCTTCATAAAAACATTTCTCGGTTTATCACTCCGGCAAGCTGGTTTATGTCTAAAAAACAGGACACTCAAGGGGCGCTGTTACATTATAGGCACACACACACACATGGAAACACACACTCTGCCTGACCAGGACATGGAGGCCAATGCATCTACTTTTGTGTGTGTGTGTGTGTGTGCACCTTTTACACACACACACATTCAAGCATGCACACACAAACAGTATCAGTAATAAGGCCCGGGAGCTGTTGCTGTGTGAGAGGTAATTACTCCATGCAGCTCAGCGAGGCTTTGATGGAAAGTTTTAGACTAACTGGCTCGACTGGAAGAAGCCTTGACTCTGCTTCTTCTTTTTTTTTTTTTTTAACAAGAACTCTTTGTGGCTCCCTTTGCCCTCTTTTCTCTCTTAAACGCTGAAGTTTCACGGCATCCTGGAAAGATTTTACATCTCATTTTTGAATGCAAGAAAAGCCCTCAGCTCACATCACACAATCGATTAATGTCGGAAGGCTGCTGTCGCACAGGGCCCATTACACGCCGTCAAAAAAAAAAAAGCACTGCGAGATGTTTGGAAGCGTTTCCTTTCTTCCTCTGGCAAAGCAAATCATCTTTATGGCGCTGAGGTCGGCCTGCTTTGTCCGCACGCTGCATCTGACTCATGTGGGACCGCGTTGGGCGAGATGACGGCTTCCCTTCTCAAAACCACTAACAGCCAGTTGTGTGTGCTCTGCAAGTGGTCTGGTCCACAGCCTGTGTGTGATGTGTCTGCTGTGGTGGCAGAGCGGCAGTCTGTGCAGGCCGTACACGCTCGCCTGTTGACTTTCTAGCCAGATCGCTGCTCCTTTCCCAGCCACCGGCCAGAAAAACATGAAGTATTTTTGGAACATCCATCCCTCAGGATTTGTGTT